TCGAAATCTGCGTAGCTGAATTATGGAAAATCCGTTATTAAAACCAAAACAACTTTTATGAAGTTTAAAATCGCAGGCCTGACTACAATTAGTTACACGTACTCGATTTCTGCATTGTTTTGTACACCAACAGCAGCACCAATGGCACAACGAGACCTTATGGGGCCAGTGGACTAAAATTACATCAGGGCCCTTAACTCTTGTTGTTACCTGCTATGTGGAGGACAGTGGACTTTATCCAACTAGTAAAACGGGTTGTTACACCATCTCCTTTGTTAAAATAGAAATGTACAAAACGATTTTCTATCAACAACTCGGTGTAGAACTCATAAATTTGATTACATTCCAACACCCCTTATAAAAACATGTAGAGCGATCCAAGAAATGCATTGGACTTAAAATCACCACTTTTAGTATATAATAATGATTAAAAAAAAACGTTTCATTTTCCCCTGAAGAGTAAATCTTAAATAACAAGGTAACGCCACATACTACAATAAGAAAGAAATGATAGAATTAACAAACAATTTTACATAACACACATAAGTACCAAATTATTATGTTTAAAGTGTTAAAATTGCATTTGCTGGCTTAACTTTACTTTTAAAAACGTACGTGACTCTATAACACCAAATTATGCACGTAGCACCATCTTACGGAAAATACAGCAACTACTACAAGATTTTGTTACTCAAAAAAAATAATTAATAATAGTTACCAACACTGTATTCATAAAGCAAAGAAGTACATAATACTTAATACAGATTTACACTTTGACCGAAATTCGACAATTTCATATTATGCTTTGAAATATCAGTGAGAATGTTGGCAGAATATTAACAGCATAAAACAGACATATTACGCATTCACAAAATGGGATTTCTAATGTGATAAATTTTCACAGGAACATACATTGTCATTCCAAACTACAGTAAACATTTCTTTTATTCTCTTCTTTAAAATATCTATCAATACACATTTTTTTTTAAATTTCCGATCATTACGCGATTTACAAAATTGTAGGTTGAGAATCAACAGGAAAATATTAATAAAATATTTTCATGGTAGAACTCTAAGCATACACACAAAAGATTAACAGAAATACTGATTTTGTTTTGCCAGGAAATATGAGCAAAAAATAATAAACTTGATATACTATTCTTTCAACGAATTTTTCCATACCTATCAAATAAACATATGCACATTTCTGGGTGAACATCTGAATATTACACAATGTATATGAAAATAAACGTTTTTCCATTAAACGTTAAGAATCAAACAGGGTCATACATAACATTAAAAACAATTTCAAGAACTATAGCTCAATAACTACCAACTAGATGCTATAGTGGAAAGGACTATTTATCAAAAACATTAAATCCCATTTTTGATATGTAACCAAAATAAAAAGTTGCCCCAAAACTTTATCAATCATAGACAAGGCCATGCCCTTGATAACTGTGTAACATCTTACACAAAAATATATTCTTGTACTCCTACCAACCAGTCGGTATAGATAAATATGAAACTAATAAAATAAAATGTTTTCTAATTCTATGGACTCTGTGATATAATTTCAAAATCTCTGTGATTCTAGATTGGCAAAACTGAGTTCTTCAACTAAGTATTTTGATGTAGTTAAAACAATTGTACAAGCCAAGATATGGTCCTACTTCAGGTGAATATAATCAACATGGAATGTAATTAGGTCTCTGATTCAATAGCTAGTTAACCTCAGAAGGAACGTAAATATGTGTTCCTACATATTCTGAGCAGACATCCATCTTTAGAAAGATGTACAACTTACATGGAATGTAACCGTGTGTTCCTAAATCTACTGAACAGACTGTAAGATATACATATGTCTAAAGGATGGATAGTAATGTTACCTGTGTGTTCCCAAATCTACTGAACAGACATCCATCCTTTAGACATATGTATATCTTACATGTAATGTTACCGTGTGTTCCTAAATCTACTGAACAGACATCCATCCTTTAGAAATATGTATATCTTACATGTATTGTTACCGTGTGTTCCTAAATCTACTGAACAGACATCCATCCTTTAGACATATGTATATCTTACATGTAATGTTACTGTGTGTTCCTAAATCTACTGAACAGACATCCATCCTTTAGACATATGTATATCTTACATGTAATGTTACTGTGTGTTCCTAAATCTACTGAACAGACATCCATCCTTTAGACATATGTATATCTTACATGTAATGTTACTG